CATGTCCAAATTTAAGTTTTTTAATTTTCCTAACTAGTAGATGTAGTAATATAACTACATCTCGAAGAATTTATGAATTTTTTATTATTTTCTTTTGTATTTTTCAAAACTGAAATGGCGATATACAAGGGGGGTAGAGATTTAAAATTGCTCTTTAGTACCGGTTTGTGCCACGAACCGGTACTAAAGGTGATAGCGGGGCCCCGGCCTGACGCCAGCCTGCCACCACCCCTTTAGTACCGGTTCGTGGCACGAACCGGTACTAAAGGTTCAAAACGAACCGGCATTAATGCATAGCCATTTGAATCGGCACTAATGGTACCATTAGTACCGGGCCAAAATCGAACCGGCACTAATGTGTCTCACATTAGGTCTTTTTTCTACTAGTGCTAGAGGGGGCACGCCAAGTGTGGGGAGTCCTACTAGGACTCCCAAGTCCTAGTAGGATTCCCCTTTCCTTTCTGGAGTAGGAGAGAAGGAAAGAGGGGGAGATGGAGAAGGAAAAGGGGGTTGCACCCCTTGTCCAATTCGGACCAGAGGGGGTGCGCACGCCTCCTTCCTTTTGGCCTCTCTCCTCTATTCCCGTATGGCCCAAGAAGGTCCATATACTCCCCGGCGAATTCCCGTAACTCTCTAGTACTCCGAAAAATACCCGAATCACTCGGAACCTTTCTGAAGTCCGAATATAGTCGTCCAATATATCGATCTTTACGTCTCGACCATTTAGAGACTCCTCGTCATGTCCCCGATCTCATCCGGGACTCCGAACTACCTTTGGTACATCAAAACACATAAACTCATAATATAACCGTCATCGAACTTTAAGCGTGCGGACCCTACGGGTTTGAGAACTATGTAGGCATGACCGAGACACGTCTCCGGTCAATAACCAATAGCGGAACCTGGATGCTCATATTGGCTCCCACATATTCTACGAAGATCTTTATCGGTCAAACCGCATAACAACATACATTGTTCCCTTTGTCATCGGTATGTTACTTGCCTGAGATTCGATCGTTGGTATCTCAATACCTAGTTCAATCTCATTACCGGCAAGTCTCTTTACTCGTTCCGTAATACATCATCCTGCAACTAACTCATTAGTTACAATGCTTGCAAGGCTTATAGTGATGTGCATTACCGAGTGGGTCCAGAGATACCTCTCTGACAATCGGAGTGACAAATCCTAATCTCGAAATACACCAACCCAACAAGTACCTTCGGAGACACCTGTAGAGCACCTTTATAATCACCCAGTTACGTTGTGATGTTTGGTAGCACACAAAGTGTTTCTCCGGTAAACGGGAGTTGCATAATCTCATAGTTATAGGAACATGTATAAGTCATGAAGAAAGCAATAGCAACATACTAAATGATCAAGTGCTAAGCTAACAGAATGGGTCAAGTCGATCACATCATTCTCCTAATGATGTGATCCCGTTAATCAAATGACAACTCATGTCTATGGTTAGGAAACTTAACCATCTTTGATTAACGAGCTAGTCAAGTAGAGGCATACTAGTGACACTATGTTTGTCTATGTATTCACACATGTATTATGTTTCCGGTTAATACAATTCTAGCATGAATAATAAACATTTATCATGAAATAAGAAAATAAATAATAACTTTATTATTGCCTCTAGGGCATATTTCCTTCAGCGCCAGCAAGTGGCACATGCCGTAGAAAGCAATCAAGGTGCCAGCGCGCATGCGACTTGGCCTCCAAGGGAGATCGTCCATGCCTGCCAGCTCACCCCGCGCTATGGCTGGCCACGACAGGCTTAGGCCCGTTGTGGCCCTTGAGTAATCCCTTCAATGCTCCTGCCAGCGACTAGTCATTGGCGGGGCTTAGGGTGTCCGCGAGAAGCAGACAATGGAAAGGGAGTTCCCGGAAGGATCAACCCCTTCTCGTGAAGATCTTGGCTTTGACGTTGTCGATGGTGCCAAATGGCTTCTATCCGTCTGCGATGGTCTTGCCGGTGAGAGTCTTCACAAGGATCTGCGTCTTGTGGTCATGTCTTGACGAAGATCTGCATGCCACCTCGAAAGGGGCATGGTCTTGAGTACATAGGCTGGTTGCCCATGTTCACACGTTAGCGGAGCTGCCGCGGCCCAAGCGAGACGGATCCGTGGGACCCTGGTCTTCCGACAGCAAGTAACATTGTTTTTTTATATAGACTACCAGTTGTAGGATAAGCATTACTTCTGAAGATAGAAATAACAGGACAAATATTCAGATCCGGTGAGTTAAAACTCAAAAGGGTCAAGGAGCAAGCATGGCGGCCAGTGCCAGTTCATCCATAACATATGGGCAACTCCTCCTCGTGTGGATGCTATTCATAGGTTTAGAATCTTCCATATTAGTTGATACTCAGTTGTTTTCCCTCTTTTGTTCACTGCAATTACAGTACATTGGTTCTTAACTTAATATTTTTGACTTACAATCTGACTTTTCTATTTATCAGGTAACCATGTCACTTCCACTACTTCTATGCTACCACTACCACTATGTCTTCTCTGAGAACTTGGGCCCATCTGTGTTGATTATTTTATTTTTACAAACATACCATTATGGAATGTACTCATAACTTTGTTTAATCTTTAATTTTAGGGAATAAAGACTGCAGCTCAATGAATCTTGAAATACAAAAGGAACAATGTGTGCTGACTAAGGTTTTACCGCCCCGCTTTATATATAAAGCCACGACTAGAGAAACAAATCCGGATACAACACGCCACCATCCCACACAATACACACACCCAAAGCAAGATACAAGGGTGCCGATGCACCGCAACACTACCAATCGACCACCAAGCACACTACGGATGAGCCCAAAGAAACTACTTGGGGCCGACGAGGACCTCCCGAGACCTAGCCACCGAAAAGTGAAGCGGGACAGTGACGAAGCATGGACTCCAAGGTGGTGCCTTCAAGAAGGGCACGACACCGATTGTCGCCACCGCCCGGCCCCGAGGATCAAGTTTTCACCCGGAGCAACGTGGAGAGAGGAGAACACCACGATGGAGCCTTCATAAAGGAAACGACGCCCGTGGCCGCCGTCACCGTCAACCGGAGAAGACCGGGCAAGTTATGCACTTTGGTATTAACCCTCCGCCAAACCACCATGCTACGCCAAACATCACCAACCATGCCACCCGCGTGACCATGGCTGCCTGACCGCAGCCAAGACGCGCGCTCCGCCCACGAACACCGCGTCTCCCGCCGCCAGGGCCGCCGCCCTGCATCCAAGCAACTCCGAGAACACCCAAAGGCCTTGGCTTTGGCCTGACTGGAAGCACCCGCCAATGGAGCAGCCAACAGCTGCCCTGCCTCGAACATCGCCAGAACCTCACCAGAGGGCACACGACCGAGGAAAGGGGGGGGGGAGCGGACGCGTCCGGACCGGTGCACCCCAGCACCGGCGACGGGTAGCCCGACATCGGGGCCTCCCATCCCTCCTGAGAACTCCCACCGGACACACCCCGTGTCGCCTCACCGTGGCGGCCGACACGGCCTGACACGAGGCCACCAACGACAGCCCGCCCAGCCATCGACAAGGAGCATGAAGCCACCCCTCACCCGCAGCCGAGAGCACTCACCGGAGAGCCATCCCGCGCCGCTCGCCGTCGTCCAGGGGCCGGAACGGGGGAGGCCCCAATGAAGCTCGGCCAACACGCACCACCAGCACACGCGCCCGCCACGAGCCCGACCACCGCGCTGCACGCAGCAGCAGAAGCTCCCGCGCCCGCCGGCGAGGCACCGCGCGTCGCCCGCGCCCGCCGGACCGCCAGATCTAGCCGAGCCTAGACCTGGCTGCCGCCGCAGCCACGAGCGCGAGCCGCCCCGTGCAGCCCACCGCGCCGCCACCAAGCCCTCGCTACCCCGCCGTCAGGGCCCGCCGCCGCGCCTCCGCGCCCCGCACCAGCGCGAAGCACCGCCGTCCGCCGCCGCCCCGCGCCAACAGCCTCCGAGCGGGATGAAGAAGAGCCCCGCCGCCACTGGCGCCGGTGAGCTTTGCCCGACAGTGTGGTCCGGCGGCGGCAAGGGAGGGGAGGCCCGAAGCCGGCGGCTAGGGTTTCCCCCCCGGTCGCCACACGGGAGCGACGCGGGGAGGGGATTGTATCTGCCTAAGGTTTTCTGTAACACAAAACCGCAATGTCATTCAGGCATTCTGCTTCTACCTGCAATGACATTGGCCACTAGATGGCACATCAACGTACTCCAGAAGTGTCGACAATCTTTGAAAGGTAATCACAGTCTTTTAAATATGGCTGAAATATATCTCTGAAATCCAATCCAGATAATGCCACGATAGAAGTATATATTTCTTATTCAGCGCGAGATCCATCCCTTACGAAATTGAATACAACAAATGGGACAGAGTCGACGTCAACCAACTGAAGCAACTATTACATATTTGGCTGAATTGGAGCCAGCAGATATGATGGTAATTACCGTGTACTCACTGTATTATGCAGTTTAGACTATTTGCTCAGCCAATAATGCTTAATAATATGTTCTTTGGCAGAAGCACAACTTAGTCAAAGCACAACTTACGCTGGGGTGAGGCCAATTCAGACAGTCAATCTGTAATGCCGTTCAGCACATCTCTGCTGCGTGCTCCTCCACAGCATATACACGCCCACAAGTGCCCAACGCAGCACCCATCAAACACACGCAGCCCAGATACCACGCACAAGAATGCCACCATCCATCCGGCAACTTCAGCACCTGACACCTCTTGCCGGCGCATGGTCTAGTTTGGAAAGAATTTCACAAACCCTGTAATCTGTACTCCATTTCATTTCGACCAAATGATGAGTTCCAGATTATTATAACACCTTAGACAAACTTCAAAGTATCTTACAAAAGCATTAACATAGTCTGCATACAAATATTATTAAGCATTCGCATGCATGCATGCATTGCCAAAGCACAACTTAGCACAGATGTCTTCTTTGGCAGAAGAGCAACAACCAATTCAGCATAGCACAACTTAGCATTCAGGGTTGGTGGAGTAATACTTTTCCAGCTCAGCCCATTCAGGGTTGCTGGTGATGGTTTTCACATCAACCCCCTTGGGCAAATGGACATAAAGTCTGTCTCGAACCACTTTATAATCGGCGTAGACTCGCTTGTAAAGTTTGCCACTGTCATCTGTGATAAATTCAACATTATGGCCGTCAGCCTGCTCTGCAATCTTAAGATCAAGCAGGTCAGTGCAACAGGGCTTCCTTAGCTTTCCATCAGCGAATTGGGTTATTCCCCTTCTGTAGCCCACATTGGGCTTGTTGTGGATGTGCAGGACGGTCTTCTTGAATGTGCTGAACCAGCGAAGCTTCTCATCATGGTCACGCTTCTGGTTGAAAGCCTCGCACCAGCGCTCATACAAGACCCAGAGGGTTTCATCTGACTCAAGGTCTTTCTCCTCTGCCACAAACTTCACCTTGCCTTCCGGCATTTGTTCTATTTAAAAAAAAAAGATTAAGTCTTGTGTCGAATTACTCCCTCCGTCTCGTAATATAAGACCTTTTTTACACTATTATAGTGCCATAAAAGTCTTATATTATGGAACGGAGGAGTACAATTTAATATACGGCGTCTGATGCAGTACTACTCCAATAACATGTTATCTTATTCCCCCACTTGAGCTTCAGATGGGTTCAGCTGGCCAAAGGCAGTTATGTTTGATAAAATAATAAAATGGTGGATTCTCGCAGGCTATATATAAAGTGGTAAATCGTCCGGAGTTCATAAAAATGAAAGGAAAACAACCGAAGATGGGCAATCCCGTTCCCGCTCCCTTGCCATGATGCCCAAACCATGCTCCTGTTCTATCAGCCAGGCATTGGATTTTACCTTCTAAGTTGCTGAGCGTCTGGGAGGCAGGTGCGGTCATGGCGGGGCGAGGAACGACGGCGGGAGGACGGTGCAGACGCGGATCTACGGTGGCGGCATGGTGGGAATCCAAGCTGGGAGTGTGACGTTCGACCGCCGCCGCCTTCGTGGAGAGGGCCGCTCGTTCAGCTAAGCGCGCGAAGCGAGATGCGGTCGCCGCAGCTGAGCGAGCGGCACCGGCGAACCGCATGAGCGAGGAAGCTGCCGATGGCATGGCCAAAGCCAACGAGGATGGATCTGCACGGAGTAAATCGCTTCCAAGGCTAGGTTAAAAGAAAATATTAAGTTACATTTTTTTTTGCAAAAAATCATGTCTATCCTAATATTTTTGTAAATAATGTTGGTCGGCGGATTTGGCTTGACTGAGCATGTTATTACTGTACGCATGCTGGTGCTCTCAAAATCCACCGTCGGTTTCAATGCAAAGGCTCTCTTCCATCTGCCTTAGGTGCGGGCGGGTAGCCATGGCTTCGTGGGGGCTTGGCTGCGGGGTGGTGGGCGGAGCGGGGGTGTCGGAGGGGTGTGATCGCCGGGGTCCATCACTTGCCCAGTCCTCGTACTGGCCGGTGGCGGCGGCGTCCACGGACGTCGTATCCTTCTTGAAGGCTCCGTCGCGGTGCTCCCACTCCTTCGTGTGGCTCCGGGTGAAAACTTGATCTTCGGATCGGACCGTGGCGGCTATCCGTGGTCGCACCCTTCTGGGAGGCACCGTCTTGGAGTCCTTGCTCCGTCATTGTCCGTCTCACCCCTCCTAGGTGGCTCCAAGTAGTTCTTCTTCGTTCATATCTAGTTTGCTTGGTTGTCGTCCGAGTGGTGTGTCGGTGCCCGGCACCTTTGTATCTTGCCTTGGGTGTGTGCTGTGTATCGTGGTGGGTGTGTTTGTATCGGTTCGCTTGGATGCTTGTGATGATGTTTGCTTTATAATATAAAGGGGGGCAACCCTTTTTCGGTAATTATGTTATTAATCAAAAAAAAATTGTAACGACGCCGGAAGAACGGCGGTCCTCTGGCTGGTCGCGCCGGCCAGCTTAGCTGTCAGCGTGCATGTGAAACACTTTCAAGGGGTTTAGCTATACCTCAAGTTCCTAAATCATCACATGTATTGTTTTTGTTTTTTCACAACAGCCATAAAAACATTTGAATCCTGGGGGTAACCTTAATTAAGATGCCAGACAGCTGGCAGAAATATGGGCATACTCCCCTAAATTAACAATGCCATACGAAGACCTGGATGAGACTCTTTTAGACTCGTATTTCCATATGATGGAACCATCATGTTCAGTTATCCCAATACTTCCAGCAACATTTTCTAGGCCAAACCATTCATCCACCAAGTTATCAGAAAAGAGCCTGTGAAATGTTCACTTCAATTGAAGTCCATCCCAAGCATCAGCAATAACTCTGTTTTTCTGATTCACCAAACAGCAGAGATCCCAGGATTGGGTTGCCAAAGGGAAGGGACATTCCCAAACCAACTATGTTCCCAAAATGTCACTAATCTACCATTGCCAACATGCCGCTTATAACTCAATTGAACAGCCTTCTCCCATAATGTGCGCGGACTATTAACTGCTGCCAGATGATGTCCCTAGCTAAACTCTAAATTTGCCATATCAGAGAAGTGTAATAGAATGGTATCCCTGCTAAGCTCTAAATTCCCATATTGGAGAAGTGTGTGGATATAACTGTACTGTACAATGAATTCACTGCCTTGCAAAGTAAAGACCCTTTTAGAGTTTGGATGTACCCGTATAAAGTTAATACAAAGTTGAGTCATCTATTTTGGAACGGAGGGAGTAATTTGTAGTTCTGTTTTTCGAAAGGTCTACCCACCTGAACTTTCCACTGCACCGCGGTTGACACTATAAATATATGAGTCGGCATACGGACAGGGAAACACGGCTGTAAGCGACAAGACAAGACCGAAAATAAGCAAATGATGCTTAAATTTCTAATGCTGCAGCCATATCAGAAACCCATGAAAAGAAACTCAGTCCTTCGCCCCTTTGACCTGCACACGGTACATCCAGGGCCGGTCCTGAGATTTTGGGGGCCCGGGGCGAAACTATGATCTGGGGCCCTTCGGGGCCCTTAGTATAAATGCCTAATTAATAATCATCATATGTACGTATAATTTGTATTAAAGAAAATAATTAAGTGCATCCAAAATGATTGTGCATATCACATAATTTATTACATATTACCTTCAAAATTTTCTCCTAACATTCTGAGATATAAAATCACTAACGACAATATCAATATCAATTTCATCAAGCAAATTTTTCTGGATGCATAAAGTTGCCAAGCCATTTAACCTCTCTTGTGACATTGTAGATCTCAAGTAGTTCTTCAACAACTTCAACTTCGAAAAACTTCTTTCAACTGATGCCATAGTAACAGGCATAGTAAAGAAAATCCGGTATTTAGTGTTTTCTTCTTCCCTTTTAGACCCCCTTTCCACTAATATGTCCCTCGCTTTGTTATCAAGATTACCCTAATTGCTTGGACCATAAATATCCACACTAATTGGTTTCTCATCAACACTAGTAGATCCTGCCGCGGATGAATTAAATATGGACTCATGGTCACTCACATTGCTATCATCCATGTTGACGTCAACATTGCCTTCTGTAGGAGTATGACCATCATCTTCCGGATTGCCATCAGTCTGGTCACCCACAAGAACTATCGCCAACTCGTCTGGATTAGTTGCCGTGCTCGTATCGCTTTTATAATATTTAAAAAGAGATCCGCTTAATGCTTCTTTCTCCTCACCTGCCTCCTTCTTCTTTCTTTCTTTTATGACTTCCAGATGAATACTTTCTACCTGTACTCGACATGACCCTGCTGAAATTGAAAGGAACAATTCACTTTCAAAATTAGCACAAAGCTAATTAAAATATTAGATTAAGTACAAAAGATCATCTAATATAATGAGAATCTGCTAGGGCATGGTATACTACCTTCTTTCTGCAATCTAATCTGGCAACGTGGGTGCAATGATTTGAGCGCCCTAAAAACAATTCCCTGTTAATCTGTTCGATTGATTGAGAAATTGGGAATCAGGATTAGAAAGAAAAGAAATTGGACCAAGATCATACGAGGGAAGAGAGCGCGCCGAGACATACTTGTTCGGTCGAAGAGATGAGAGATCCTGCTGCTGGCCTGCTGCAGTCGTCACGTCGTTCGTTCGTGAGGAGAGTCGAAGAGATTAGACGAACAGGAACAGCGGAACAGGAAAAAGGCAGGGAACGACCGATCCTAATCTCTTTTTTTTTGAGGAAAGACCGAAGCTAATTCCTAAATTACAGGAAATCAATCCAACGAGGCAACGATTCCTTTTCCTCTCCGATCTGCAGTTCTCCACGACTCCACGTGAGTACGTGCAAACATGGGCCAGGCCCAACGTATTTACTTTCCTAGGCTAGCACGCGAAGCTGAGCGAGGCGCTGATAGAATTTTTCCTGTCGAAGCTTGTATGTATACCTACGTACGTATACCTGGGAGGGGGCCCCTGGCTTTTGGGGGCCCGGGGCGGCCGCCCCGTTCGCCCCTCCCCAGGACCGGCCCTGGGTACATCCGCGAGTATACACCATTGCTCGCAGAGACCAGCGTCTCATGGCTGCCCATCTCAACCACCGCGCCTTTCTCCATCACGACGATCGCATCCGCGCCCGCGACCGTGGACAGCCGGTGCGCGATCGTGATGCTCGTGGTCGTGCTCGACGACACCTCGCCGATACCGCTCTTCCCCCACCCCTTCGCGGCGAGGGAGCTCATCACCACCCTCTCGGACTCGCCGTCCAGGGCGCTGGTCGCCTCGTCCAGCAGCAGTATGGCAGGCTTCTTCAGAATGGTTCTCGCGATGGCGATCCTCTGCTTCTGCCCCCCAGAAAGCTGGCTCCCTTTGTCCCCGACCACGGTGCCGTACCCCGCCGACAAGCCGCTGATGAACTCATGGATGTTGGCCTCCGTTGCGGCCTGCACTATCTCCGCCTCCGACGCGCCTTCGTTGCCGTAGCTGATGTTCTCCCTGATGGACAGGTTGAACAGGATCGGCTCCTGCTGGACCAGCCCTATCTGCCTCCTCAGCCACTTCAGGTTGTAGTCCCTGATGTCCTTGCTGTCTACAAGCACTCTTCCTTGGCTAGGCTCGTAGAACCTTAGCAGGAGCGCGAACACCGTGGACTTTCCGGCGCCGCTCGGGCCGACCAAGGCGACCCTCTGGCCTGGCTTAATGGCGAGACTGAAGCCATCCAGAATGGTCACCTTTGCTCTGGAGGGATAGCTGAAGCTGACGCCTTCAAACGCGATGCCGCCCACAATTCTGTCTTCCTCATCATGAGACGCTTTTGGTACATCCGGCACAATCGTTGTTTCTCTGTCAAGAATGTCGAGCGCAGGGTCCAGTACCGCGAGCGCCGACATGACCATAGGGATCAAGGTCCATAGCTCCGTGATGGAAGGCACCGTCAGCGCGAACGTCTGATATGATCGTACACAGTTTTCAAATGTCGCCAGTCCCTTGCCGAGCAGCGCGATGGTGCAGCTCAACTGGATGGCGTGCGTCATGTGCCATAGGCAGAGGGCAACCCCCTGCAACGCTCCATACTTGATGCTCTCCATCCTGATTGTCCGCATTGGTTCTTGAAGCGCTAGGTCCGCTTTCCTGAGTATCTCCTCTTCCTGGACGAAAGACGCCACGGTGCGGATGTTGCTGACGGCCTCTGAGGTGAGCGAGATGAGCTTCTGGTGAGAACTGGAAATGTCAGTGGCAAAGCCTTTCGCTGACCTGACTTGTACGAGGCCGGCGATTAGGTGGCACGGCATCATAGCATATACGGCTAGAGCCATCCTCCAGTTCACTGCTGTGCTTAACACGGTTGCTATCAGGATCGAAGAGATGCACTGAACGATGACGGACATTCGGTCGGATATAATCGTTTTGATCATGGAGGTGTCGCTGACAACACGCGATGTCAGGAAGCCAACGCTGTTCCCGGGTTCTTCGAACCAACCTACTTCGCTCCGAAGAACGACTGCATGTAGCAAAGGAGAGATGGTGTTACATTCAAGACAATGACCGTCCATTTACTTCTGTGCTAAATGCAGCTTGCGAGAGAGCCAAAACTCTATATGTTCGTTGTCATACCTGAAAAGAGGGCCTCCCTTAGGTTATTCATCGCCCTTTCACCAACCAGGCCATAGACATAGTGCTGAAAGATGTTACTGAAGAATGTTAAGAACCCAACTAGGAACAAAATTACAGAGTATTTGCCAACTATTCTCTCTGCATCTGTCTCCAGGTATGCCATGGCAACCGTTATAATGAAGAAAGCAAATATAGGCCTCGAGATCCCAGAGATTGCTGCTGCTGTGGAACCCAGCAGAACTTTTCCGGGCACAAGTTTAAAAGTTCCAAGAAATATTCTGTAGAAAGCAGATGTTCTCTTTCTGATCCCTTGCTTCGGTTGCTTTGAGGTCAATTCTATTCTCTTCTCTTCATCATCTGCAGCGAAAGATGGCTTGTTGTCTTGTTCTTCTTCGTCTTGCTCTGTGATTCTGTTTTACCAATCAACATAAACTAGTGAGTGAACTGTTACCCTTATTATAATTACTCAAATTAGGTACTTATAGTCGGTCCAGTTTAGAAAAACATATTTTCAGCACAGCCCTGACGCATCTCCTGGCACGCATGGTATCTAATACTCATCAATTTTCACTCGTAATTGCACATGTACAATGTGATGATGGGTTTCATAATTACACAGTGTAAAAAGAAGCATGCAATTGATTACATTTACCTTTCTCCAATCTTGTCAGATTCCTTCTCTAGATTCTGCATGTTGCATACACTCGAGTAGAATGCACTTTTCTCCAGCAATTCTTTGTGGGTTCCTGAATGAGCTACTCTTCCATTCTCCACAACAACAATCTTGTCCGCGTTTATAATTGTTGATATTCTGTGGGCAATCAAGATAACAGTCCTCCCTTGCATAGCTCTGTCAAGAGCATCCTGAACTAACTTCTCGGATTCTGAATCAAGTGCACTTGTGGCTTCATCAAGCAGAAGAATTGGAGGATTTTTTAGAATAGCCCTTGCAATAGCTATTCTCTGCTTCTGGCCTCCTGATAGTTGCACACCTCTTTCTCCTACCTGAAGTAATCCATGAAGAGGGGTAATGCTCACTATTATATAGATTTGGTATCTAACTAAATTTTCTAGAAAATTAGCTGTCCTTTATGCAACAAATTGCTGCTCTCTATGGACTACCCAGGGTTAGGGACAACGGAGTGCCCAACTTGAAGTGTAGTCTGCATTTCCGTAAGGCTATTAAAATCAATAATTTGACTTAGTTTGATTCACAAACATAAAATAAAAGAGAGGTTTGTGAATTTTTCACTGTCCTTGCTTTGTGAACATAAAGTCTTACCTCAGTTGAGTATTGGTTTGGAAGCTTGGAAATAAAAGTGTGCACATTAGCTGTTTTTGCTGCTTCAGTGACCTCTTCATCAGTTGCACCCATTTTGCCGATTCTCAAATTATCAGAAATAGTACCAGAAAAGAGTGATGGTTCTTGAGACACTGAACCTATATTTCTCCTCAGGGACTTCAGATCAAGTTCCTTAATGTTTTGACCATCAATTAATATGTCACCTACATTCCACACCATATTACAAACACAAGTAAAATCTGAAAATTTACATTTTACTCATCATTTGAATTTTCCTTTTTTTTGGAATAATTGGTTCTGTTTGACATGTCAACATATTATTTAACTTTTGGTGTAGAATATAATATGATTGTATTCTTTTTCCACTGCAAAATCTTGCAATAACATTTCCGCATTCTAAAAACAATCTTCTCCATAATTCCTCTATTCTGGCATCATGTTGCGTTTGTGACAACTTAAGTATGTTCAAAGGGTTTGACCATTAGGAAAATATCAAAAATTAGTTTTTCTTTTATTTAAAAAAACAAAAGATAATATAAATTAAGAAAAGGTAAATTAAAATACTGGAAATACGGGAAAATGATGGATCACTTTTGAAACCAGTAAGAAAATTTAGTAATATTTTATAACAGGATATACTTAAGATGTTGCAAAAAAGGTTAAGTTTCTTCTAAATTTTTACACTAGGATTTCTTATCAGAATATTTGCACTATGGGAACATATCGATATTTCTAAAGTTTATTGGACCCTTAAAATTTACCCGTTGTAAAAATTTTAATTTATTTTTACATCTTTGCTTCAGAAATTAAAATTATTCAGTGGCTCACTATTTGTTTTGAATTTTATCTCTTCTTCTTGATTTATAATTTCTAAGTTTATAATGATGTCTGGTATTTCTCTCCGCTCATATATTTTTCTTAATGATCAAACCCCTTTAACCACATGGAAGTGGCAGAAATAAAATAGGGTATGCTAGAACAAGTGGCACAACAGAAGACACCATTTTCGTAGCAAAAGGTGGATTGCAAGAGTTCCCCGTGACAAAAGATACTTTTGCAACTTTATTATGTCAAGAATGCAGTCTGAATTCGTAAAATCAAGCACTGCTGAATACAGCCAAGCAAACTATATAAAGTTTAAACACACCTCGGCTAAAGTTTGTGCGGTGTTAGGTATATGTCCTAGACGTGTACCTGACATAGCATCGTAGAACCTCTGAACCAAAGAAATCACAGTGCTCTTCCCACATCCACTACTCCCGACAAGAGCCACAATTTTGCCTGCCGGTACAGTCAGCGAGAAACCTTGGAGAATTGGATTATCTTCACGGGATGGATATGTGAAATGCACCTCTCGTATTTCAATGTCACCGATGACCTTCTCCAATATTCTTCCATTTGATTCAGAACTTATCACTGGATTTCTTTTGATAACCTTAAACACTTCTTTACCAGCAGCTTTTGCTTGACTGAAGATCTGAAGGTCTGGAGCTGCATTTGAGAGATATCTGAAATCACAGATAACAAAAATATCAGCACTGATTACTCCGCGGGATAATTATTTTGGAGGAATAGTAATTTAGGATAACCATGCCAGTATGATATATTGCTAGAAGGATAGTTCTCAGTATTACATTGCACCGGAGAGGATGTTAATAACAGCCGCAATTGTCTCACCCGCTTTCGCGGATCTTCTAGTTACTGCTACTGCTCCAACATAGATTGTCAGTGAGTACGAACAGAAAGTTACAATCTGTAACATTCCCAAACCTAGTCCTTTTATGAATGCCTCTTTCTTGCTTAACTTGTATTGCTTGTCCATGCATTTCACAAAGGATTTCATCGCCGAGTTTTCTCCAACAAATGAGAAGACAGTCTTGATATGTGAAAGAGTCTGCACAAATATATGTTTTATAATATACATTTAATATGGTAACCTACTTACTTCTAACAAAACTGTCATTGTGTAGGTACCTGTTCCACAACAGTGGTTGTTTCAGAGACGAAGGCTGTCCTTGTCATCGACATGCCAATCATTGTTTTAGCATATGTTGCTCCAACCACAAGAAGCATCGGAACAACTAACAGAGAGAGCATACCCACCTCCCAGCAGCACACAAAAGCAACAATGACAGCGACTAGGAATGTGGAGAAATTAGAAATAAAGTGACCCATCTGAGAAATAATAAGTAAGATACTGTTCACAATTTGTTACCATAAAACAATCTTTTTTGCTTCTCTTTGGATTACCAAACATACAGTGAATGCTATAACATGCAAGCTGATACCTTCTCTCCAATTGCATCTTTTATGACGCTCATGTGATTTGTTGTTCCGGCCATGATGTTCGCGGTGGTTAAGTCGGTGTCAAAAGCTCCGACATCTTGACTGAGTACTGATCCCAGATATGCCATCTGCATGCGTGTCATTTGTCTCTGACTTGTGTACATCCAACATGTAATTTCTGCAGCACAGGGACATTGTGGCAGAAACGTAAGACAGTTTATTTCAATATATACTGATGCCATTTCATATTATTTGTGTTTCCATCACGTGGTGTTTTCTTGTTCATGCACGAAGAGTTAAATAAGAGAAGTAGTTAAATAGAGATTGGTGCTATTATAAAATTCCCCGCTTTTATTATCATAAAGATTGTTTTCTGTGCACATTTCTTTGGGTTGTGATGTGCTGCTGTTCTTCTGAACTTCACATTATATTCTATGCCAAGCTATCGTCAGGTGGCTACTATAAGATGTTTGATTGGGGCATCAACACAAAATAATAAAATTCTAACCAGCTTCAAGGGTTCACAACTTCTCCTTTTAGACCAATTCTGGTAACCAGTAAAATCACTGAAATTTCAAATTCAGCCGAATCACCTAAATTTTTTTAATTGACCAAAATTTGAGTTACATTTCAATCTGCCCGAAATTGGTTATCACTGAAAATTTTAACAGGCCGCTGAAATCAGCTAGAATTTCCATAATTTCAGTGAAAACTAGCTTTCGAAGAATCCTCTCAATTCAGCATTTTGGCCTAATTTCAACTCAAAGTTGCTTGGTACCAAGTTTCTCAAACCCAGGATTACATGTAGGTCATACTTGCATGCAACTTTGCAAATAGTGCCATGCAGAGGGTGACTTAGGCCCCACTGAAATTGACTGACACCTGGATGTTACGCACATTTTGTATTTTATAAATAAGAACTTATATTCATATACAGAAGTTTCCACTGTAACTAGGATTCATGTTTTCTTTGTGCCAAATGTTCATTACCTCAATACTATACAATAAGCATGCACTTATATTGTGCTACCATGTTGACTTGAAGTAATTCTACTATTCTTTAGTACTCTCATAACTGTGAAATAGTTTAGCTCATCATAATATTTGGACTTCCATTGTTTCCTTTAGGGCATAAGTAATACCATTAACTTTCATGATTTTGTTTACATTTGGTAAACTAGCAAAGTTAGAAGAGGTGTACTCACCAATCATTCCAGCAGGAAGTGTAATAATTGCCAAGGACCACATATATGGAAGTAACTACAAATCAGAACAAGAATATACACCGTCAGTGACATAGCCAACAGCTTTTTTAACCTTAATAAAATCAAACAAAAACACTTCATAAAATCTAATGATGTCTTATATCATGGCCTTGAATATTTTGGAAAGAAAATTAACCTTAGTAAGTTGATGGACAATTGCCTCCCGATTGCCTATGTTGTCCCCAAACATATCAACAGCTTTGCCAAGTATGTAATATGACATTGCAGGTGCCATGCCGTGTACGAAGGACCCAATTGTCCCTGATACCATGAGCAGCCAATCTAGCGCATCGGCGTAGCAAAGCAGGCCGAAGAATGGGAACGGTTCATCAGCAACTGCTATTTCTGGTGGTGTGCTTTTCTTGTCATCCTCGGGTTTGAATGATTCGACGGGGCAGTCCTTTTCTTCCATGAATGCCTTTGTTCTTGTGAGTCTTGCACTAGTTTGCAGAAGAGTAGCAGAAACACGAGTGATATATAGTAACCGATAGCTTGGTTCCAGGTACAAGGTAGGACAAAACCCTGTTACTCTCAAGGTTTACATGTTGAGCTGCTACAACACGAAACCAGATAACATTAGTTATTTCCCTAAATGAACATTAGCATGATGTATCAGCCTTAGCAGTTGCCGTTCTCAGTTGGAACTATTTTTGCTGCCACAGCATGACAACCATGCACATTCAAGCTGATACGCAAGACTTTTTGTTGGGAGCGACATGTGGCACTTGAATTTATTGACTGTAAGCTGCACCGCTGTAAAATACAAAGCATGGATCTTTTGCTGCTGTAACCATCTTTGTTTTCATCAACGAATTTTGTAAGAGTCAAGAAAACAAAACTACTGCCTAGGATCTTACTTCAGAGTCCCCTAACCCTACCAATTAAACACATTTTTGCCTCCTGATATGATGGCTTAATGAGATCAGGATGATTTCATTTAGATAATAGGTTAAGGAGTGCTCACATCACCAAGATTGGTGACTGGGAATATCTGGTGCATAATTTGGGGCATAATTTGAGCATATATAGTTTACTGCTGCATTTTTTGTCCAAGAAGAAAAAACTTAACAATTGCATATGTTCTCTGAATTTTATGCCCATTTTTCATCCGAACATAACAAACCTAACCCCTTCCGTACTCCGATAGTAGGTGGTTTACTCTCAGATTTTCTGAACAAAATCACAATCTTCAGCAACTAGCTTCTCCAGGTCCAGAAGGACAGTTGGAAGCAACAAAGAAATATAACTTTTAGCCAAATAGCAATGTTTCATTCATCTGGGCTCATCGAAACATCTTCAGACGTGCAGGCAGACTATGCACCCTAAACATGCCATGATCCATGCCTCGATAGATCCATAAAGAACTTGCCACCTTGACTGAATCAACTGTTATATATTAAAAACAAGTATACAACCTGTAGTTATTTTGGATGAATCAGCTGTCTGCACAGAAATAGCCGTCCCATTTGTTCGTTCTTAAGTTGTAAATTCCAGCCCCCATGAGCTTCAAACTTCCCCACATCAAACCTCTTTCGTTGCACAGATGTTGATATATGATGTCTGTGATTACACCGACTGGGCATTTTGTTGAGAAGGAACACATCCAAAGAAGAATGATTCTGAAGGAAATTACAAGGTGCTACAGAATCAAGAGTTTTAACAGCATAAACGAACGAATACACTTGATACAAATGTTTCATGTGACAGTGCCAGCGTCAGATTCTCTACAGTGTGAGGCAAGTTCCTCCCGGTAAACCACAGAACGCAAACAATGCATCACACAACATTTAGCTTTGCAAACTAAAAAACTGTTTGGCATAATGCTGCTCAGGAAACAACTTCTGTACACACTTACACAAAGAATTCCTGGCCAAAGTATTTTGTAAGTGCGACATGCCAGTGCAACTGTCAAGATTCTAGCATGGAAAGTAACGTGAAGCTGCTGCACCTGCTCATTTCTAGACAAGATTCAGCCAAAACTATCTTCCTGTCTGCGGTTGTGTCTTGGTTAGATGTTACATGTGTTGAAGGTCAGTGGCAGGAGACGTTATTTGTTCCATAACTTATGCGCTGAAGGCTTGTGTCCAACATATCTGTCATCCATTTCTGTGGCCCGCCATCATCTCCGATGACATTGTACGCATAGGACGACAGCCCAACATCCTCACCACATGAGCTTGCCTTCCCTAACTTGTATAACCTTTCTGTTCTAGACAATACTACAAGGTTGGAAAATGTTGAGAAACTATTGCCAACAAACACATCCGCTCTTGCGCATACCTCAAAGTCGATGGCAGACTTTATAAGGTAAGGCTGCTTCTCATATATGTCAGTAACTCCAAGTTTCTTCTTCTCATAAGCAACCATACCAACTCTCCAACCACTGGTTACTGAATTATCTTCTAGAAGGCTGTCGGCTACTGCAAGATAAACTACAACCGGGCGACGTAGGTCAGTGATCTGTGAGACCTTATGAATGATCTCTCCTTTGCTGCTGCAAATTTCCTTTAAATTGGACCGCTGCTCCCACTTCTTGCAATGAATCATCCAATCTTTCTCTATTCTCATGTGAACAGCAATGTACTGCACAGGAAGATTTTTCAAACCATCTATCCTCTTCTTATTATGAGAAACGGCAGCATCATGTCTTGCTTTTTTCCCTGCATCTTTAATCTTGGATATGACCCTGACAACTTCAGTTTCTATCTCAGGAGCTACAGCAAGGCAATCAAAGATCCTGGCATAGTCTTTCACTGGCCAATGATCAGGCCATAGAAATGGATGCTTCCCAGTGACATGAATCACTTCAAAGCCATCGGCCTCCCCCAATCTGGATTGTTGCAGTTGATCCAAATCTCTCTCCACTGTCCACCTCCTACCACTGCCCTTTTGAAGTTTGAAAGGCTCGGTACGATTCGAAACTTCTGAATACCGAGCTACTCTTACAAACCCATGACAGCGGGCATTGAACTTGTTTAGGTCAAATACCTTGTCGAAAGCAATAGGCTGCAGCAAGTCAACCTCTTTGTAGAAAAGCGAAGCACTCAGACTTGGCATGAGTAGAGAACGGTTCAGGAATTTTGCCGTCAAGCATGCTCTGGCAAATGCAATCTTCTGATTGTTCAATCCCCATATAATCTGCGGGACCTCAACAAACTTGCCTTTCCTAACTCCAGGGAACAAGTCAAGGGTTGGTGACTCATAAAAGCTCTTCTCAGACGAGCTAATGGCAAGAAAAGGGGAGATAATTGCTCTCAATACAATAAGGCCAATCACTATGAGAATGCACTTGCAAATGATAAGCCTCGCCGGCAAGCTAATGTGCTTGAGATGCTTAAGGTCTTGTAGGATGTTCATTGAAACAGTTCTTTAATTCCTTCTCATTCTACCAGGTCATTTTTATCCATCACCCAACAGAAGTACAGACTGTGCTGCAATATAATGGAATCAATATCCAAACACGCGTGGACGGCTTCACCAGTTCTTCCTGAGCTATGAGTAAATCAGGTTTCAAGCTCGGGTAAACATACTCCTTGAACCCTTCCGTTAACAGCTTAGTACATGCTCCACCAGAGAGACTGCAAATGCAATTGAAGGGAAACAAAGACATAATGCAGAGTTATTATACTGCCACACTTTATGCAATTTAATAAATCTACTAAGTGGCTCCACAAAGAACAATTTTTCACTGTATTCACTCATATAGATGAACAGTCTCAACAGCAAAATGTTAACCAAAAACTAACCACAAAGATATTTTTTTACGAATTCACATATAATAACATGCACATTAAGTTTGCATAAGATACCCTGGTGTGGACACGCCTAGAGTCCCATGGTTCACATCAGTTATGGACGCAGAACCAAATGTCAGGAATTTATAAAGGAGGAGCCCCGTGAATTTTATAAAGGAGAAATGACAGGTATATGGCGGTGTCTACAGCAAAGTAATACTCATACATGTAACAATCCTAAGCCAGAAGCTTCTGTATATCCAAGTTTCCATTATCGAATTTCCCCATCTCACATGGAAATCAAACAAGCAAGCCATGCTGACAGACTGGAGCTTCA